GGGGCCCTTAACTCTGTTAAAATGGTACTGCTTGTGTGTGTCAGTGAGCTTCTATTTAGTGAGCATGTGTGTGTCAGTGAACTTGTCTTTAGTGAGCTTGTGTGTGTCCCTGAACTTCTTTGTAGTGAGCCTTCTGTTTATACAAGTGAGTGTCTGTAGTAAGCTTGTGTGTGAGTCAGAGAGTTTTGTCTGTCAGTAAGCCTGTTTGCGCATGTCAGTGAGCTTGTGTGCTTACTGTACTATATATATATATATATATATATATTTTGACTTGTAGGAATGGCATACTTTTTTTTCCAGGGCTGCTTTGGATTCCCAGGGATTCCCAGTTTGGCTCTACCAGCGAGTGCACTTTACCGCTGAATAATCTGTGTGAGCTGCCGCACACTTTAGCCCTGTTACACGCGTCTGGGAGCTGCTGTTGACAGGTACTAGTAGTCTAGAGATTGGGGTATATTCTCAGCTATCTGTATAATACAGATCTGTGTGTATAAAATATCCCGGGATAGTCAGTGCTTCCTGTATAGTGCTGCTCTCTGTCTTGGGATTATACAGAGAGCAGCACTATACAGGGAGCACTGAGTGTCCCAATTTATTATACACACAGCCCTGTATTATACAGAGAGCACTGACTGTCCAGGGATATTATACCCAGACAGTAATTGATAGCTGTGCTGCAAAATGTCCTTGAAATTTTTTTTTCAAATGTTGGCAACTATGGCACTGTATCAAGGATAATGTGTTTGTTTTTTTAATAATCCCTGGTGGAAAATCATGATTCCTCCACCAGGTATTATTAAAAAAACAAAACACATTGTGTCGGGGGCGTGGCTTAACATGTGACAGGGGTGGGGTCAAACTGCAGCGAGGGCGGGGTTAAATGTGCCCCCCCTACTTTTTGTCACTGGCCCTCCATGGCCTTTGAAAATGAATCCCTAGAGGCGCCACTGGCAAATCGGGGTAACACGTTAATTATTGGAGATTTTAATCACAGGGACATAAATTGGGATAGAGTGACTAGTACTTCAGCAAGGGGAATCAGGTTTTTGAATGTGTTAAATTACACCTTTATGTTACAACTAGAAATGATGCTTGTCTGGATCTCATTATAACAAACAATGTTGATCTTTTGACCAACATTCAAGTAGGTGAGCATTTGGGAAATAGTGATCACAATATGGTAATTTTTAAAATAAATTCACAAAAGCATGTTGGGTATACTAAAACGTATAATTTTTAAAAAGCCAATTTCGATAAGATTAGGGCATCTCTACAACATATCGACTGACATAAACTCCTTAGTGAAAAAAAACACTGAGGATAAATGGAAACTATTCTAACAAATATTAGAAAGGAACATTTCTCAGTATGTACCATTGGGTAATAAATATAAAAGAAACAAATTGAAACCAATGTTGCTTAGTAGAGAAGAAAAACAAGAGATTAAAAATAAGAAAAGGTATTTAAAGCATTTAAATTGGACAAATCAGAGGCATCCTATATAATATATAAGGAAGCCAATAAAGCTTGCAAAAGGCAATAAAAGTGGCTAAGCTAGAAAATGAGAAATTGATAGCCAAAGAAAGCAAAACCAACCCCAAATTTTTTTTCAAGTACATGGCCCCATGTTAAAAGACATCTTTTTCACTGCAGAAAAGACTTATTCGTGCTTTTCTGCCCGGTGTTCGGTAGATTCTCGGATTTATTGAATGAACTCAAATAACCCAGATAGGTATGCCATGGAGCCTATTCATGTAATAAAAGACTTTGGCTCCATGGCAATTGAACTGTATGTGTTTGTGGTCTGAGCGCCATTCAGTATTAATGTGCGCTCAGACCTAAGCTATCTGGGCATATGTTGCATGTCTGTATTTTATGTCATAAATGTAACCTTGTGTATTTTATTGTATTTTACTGTCTTTTTGCTGCCATGTGTTCAATGGAGTTTTGCCTCTGTCTTTGGAGATAATTGGATTACTTCTAATTATCTCCAGGATAGAAGACTCTGTGGAACTGGTTTTGGGCAGAAAAGCCATGCTTCCTGTGGTCACAAAGGACTACGATCTATCTTTTGAACCACTGGACCAATTTGTATGATTTTGACGTATGTTTGTATTTGGAGTATGCTGATTCTGAAAATGTAAGTTTTTATGTGAATGTGATGCATACTTTTCAAGTTATGAATAATGTGGAAAAATTGTATTTCTCTGCTTGTGCTAAATTACATTACCCATTGTGTAAGGTAATTGAATCACATGCAGAGGGGAGGAATTTGTGTGGGAGTGTCTGAGTGTATTGTATGTGTTTATTGGTTGTGTTCCAAAACCCTGTGTGTGGTACTAATGTGTAAGAATGTGTACATAAGCACAATAAACCCACAGCTCTGTCTGTTCACTGCTTGACCCTCAACACGGAGCTTTGTCTCGTTCTTGGGGGGATTTACTGTATGCTGTTAGAGACTGATTGCCAGGAGTGTAAGCTGCTTGGGTGCTTTTCCTGTTCAGCTGCTAGCAGCTATTCATGAGGTTCCAGTTCTGGAATTTGGAGTGCTACTTGGTATCCTGTTCGGGAGTTTGGTGTTCTGCAGTAGCTGTGCCTGCATCTCTGGAAGGGGGACGATTGCCTAAACGGTTTTTACCCCTTGTGTGCAAAACGGTCCGTTACAACATTAATTCTAAAAAAACTAAAAATGAGAGTGTAGGTACACTAGAAACAGAGATGGGTCTGTTAGCTAATGAAGATCAGGAAAAGGCAGAAATTTTAAATAACTATTTTTCTTTAATACATATTAATGAGGATCCTATGGCAAGAGATATGCAAATGATTGCTGCAAAAAACTTGCAGATAACTTGTAATTGGATGACTCGAAACAAAGTGCTACAGCTGTTAAAGAAAATTAATGTAAATAAAGCTCCGGGGCCTGATGGTATTCACCCACGAGTACTTAAGGAGCTAAGTGGGAAAATAAGTGAACCTCTGAATTTAATTTTTCAAGATTCTTTTCTTTCAGGTATTGTACTGGAGGATTGGGGGAAGGCAGATGTCGTTCCTATATTTTAAAAGAGTTCAAAATCCTTGTCTGGAAATTATAGACCTGTGAGCTTAACTTCTGTGACTGGGAAAATATTTGAAGGGCTATTAAGGGATAATATTCAGGAATTCATTGGGAAGAACTTTGTTATTAGCAATAATCAGCATGGTTTTATGAAACATAGGTCATGTCAAACTAACCTAATTAGTAGAAGTATAGATCAGGGTGTTGCAGTGGATGTGATCTACTTGGATTTTGCCAAGGCATTTGATACGGTTCCTCACAATATGCTAGTCTTCAAACTAAAAGAAATTGGTCTAGATGATTATTCTTGTTCTTGGGTAGAACATTGGCTTAAGGATAGAGTACAACGAGATGTCATTAATGGTACATTTTCAGGCTGGACAAAAGTGGTAAATGGTTCTGTTTTGGGACCGCTTCTATTTAACATATTTATAAATAGTGATGTGCCGAACGGTTCGCCGCGGACTCATCATTGAGTAAACTTTGACCCTGTACCTCACAGTCAGCAGACACATTCCAGCCAATCAGCAGCAGACTTTCCCTCCCAGATCCTCCCACCTCCTGGACAGCATCCATTTTGAAGCTGCATTCTTAGTGAGCTGTCCAGGAGGTGGGAGGGTCTGGGAGGGAGGGTCTGCTGCTGATTGGCTGGAATGTGTCTACTGACTGTGAGGTACAGGGTCAAAGTTTACTCAATGATGAGTCCGTGGCGAACCGTTCGCAAACCGTTCGGCGAACCGTTCGGGACATCACTATTTACAAATGATCTTGAAATGTGTTTGCAGATGACACAAAACTTTGTAAAGTAATAAAATGTGAGTAGGATATTACTCTGCTGCAGAGAGATTTAGATAGATTGGGGGACTGGGCACTGTAATGGCAGATGAAATTTAACGTGGAGAAATGCAAAGTTATGCACTTCGGGGTCAAGAATTCACAAGCAACTTACCCCCTAAATGGTAGTGAATTAGGGATAACCACACACGAGAAGGATTTGGGAATTGTTATAGACAACAAATTAGGCAGCAGTATGTAATGTCAATCTGCAGTTGCTAAGGCCAGTAAGATTTTGTCATGTATAAATAGGGGCATAAATTCTCGTGATGAAAATATAATTTTGCCTCTTTATAAATCGCTGGTAAGACCACACCTTGAATACGCTGTGCAATTTTGGGCACCTGTTCTAAAGAAGGATATCATGGCACTAGAAAAAGTGCGGAGACGAGCTACAAAATTGATAAAAGGAATGGAGCATTTTAGTTATGAAGAAAGGTTAAAAAATTTAAATCTCTTTTGTTTGGAAAAACGGTGCCTCAGAGGGGATATGATAACATTATACAAATATATTCGGGGCCAGTACAAAGTGAAAATCTATACATAAACAGGGCTATACCTAGGACACAAGGTCACACATTTAGGCTGGAAGAAAGGAGATTTCATCTAAGGCAAAGAAAAGGTAGTTTACAGTAAGAGTAATAAGAATATGGAATTCTCTGCCTGAAGAGTCATTACAGATGTTTAAACTGAAATTGGAGAAATACTTGCAAAAACATAACCTAGAGGGATATAATTTCAAATTAGTAGGGTAATAGCTGCTTACATAGTTTCATAGTTACATAGCTGAAAAGAGACTTGCATCTAGCAAGTTCAGCCTTCCTCACAAGGCAATAAACCTAGTCTGAAGTGCTTCCAATTTTGCAAAAAACAAGGAAAAATTCCTTCTTGACCCCAAAATAGCAGTCAGATGTCTCCTTGGCTCAAGCAGCTATTACCCCACTAATTAGAAAATATGTCCCTATATGTTATGTTTTTGCAAGTATTTATCCAATTGCAGTTTAAACATCTGTATGGACTCTGATAAAACCACCTCTTCAGGCAGAGAATTCCATATCCTTATTGCTCTTACTGTAAAAAAAACTTTTCTTTGCCTTAGAGAAATGGACCTTTCTAATATTTGTTTGAATAGTAAACATTTATCCTCAGTGCTTTTTTCACCAAGGAGTTTATGCCAGTCGATATGTCGTAGAGCTGCCCTAATCTTATTAAAATTGGCTTTTTTTTAAATTATACATTTTAGTATACCCCACATGCTTTTGCTTTTTTGGGTTTAGTAAAAAATTACCATATTGTGATTACTATTTCCCAAATGCTCCCCTACTTGAATGTTGGTTCAAAAGATCAAAATTTTTTGTTATAACGAGATCCAGACAAGCATCCTTTCTAGTTGGTGCTTGTACCAGTTGTGACATAAAGGTGTAATTTAACACATTCAAAAACCTGATTCTCCTTGCTGAAGTACTAGTCACTCTATCCCAATTTATGTCCAGGTAATTAAAATCTCCAATAATTAACGTGTTACCCCGATTTGCAGCTTTCCCAATTTGCTCTAACAGCTGCTCTTCCTCATTAATATTTACATTAGGTGGTTTATAACATATCCCTAGTTTGTTACAAAATTGGAAGCACTTCAGACTATTTAACAATGATCTCGAAGTAAGCATTAAAAGTAATTTGTCGTAGTTTGCAGATGACATAAAACTATGTAAGACAATACAGTCTTAACTTTTCTTTACTTCTCTACAGTGGGAATTGGATAAGTTGGGGAACTGGGCAGACAAGTGGTAGAGGAGATTCAATACAAATTTATGCAAAGTCATGTATTTTCGAATAAGGAACCCACAAGCCACTTATACATTAAATTGAATTGAGTTGGGGATAACATTAAATGAAATATATTGGGAACAATTATAGATCACAAACTAGGCAACAATATACTGTTGCGAAGGATAGCAAGGTGTTTTCATGAATAAAAGGGGGTTTTGAGACTATGCAGAATCATTTCTGCGCACCGGGGGTGGAGAGATGACGTAGCATGAGCATGTATGTCCTCGTGGAACGAGGCTGAGGGGGCGACGGAGAGAGCCAACCAAGAGTCATTGAGACAGTGGATCTCCACGGCATGCCACGGATCCCCACTTAAGACTGAACAGGACCTGATGTCGGGTCACAACAGGGTGAGCTACCTGCAATCCTAAAGTGACATCACACAGCCAGCCACGACAGGAGGAAACGGCAAGCTTGACAGCCCGGGAATACATCTAAAAGCTAAGTTTTGAATACATCAAAGTATGCTGACAACAAGCAAGAGAAAACATTAATAGCAATACCAAAAGGTTTAGTCAGTAAAACAGCTAGGTCCCTGAAGAGAAAGGGTCTAAAGTATATGCAATTCTGCTCACAGTGAATTGTCTATTTGATAGTTATAATCAGGCAGGGGTAAAACCCCATGTAATATCTGCCTTTCCGTTTTTGTTTTTTTTCGGGGGGTTTTTTGTGTTCTTTTTTTCCCTTTTGGTTGGCTGTCCCTTCCAGCCCCCCTGCACACCGTCCTTGTTTATTTGCCAAGTATTCTGGCCCCTTTTTTGGGGGACTTATACTTCCTGCACTAAACCTATTGCTACATCAATAGTGGAAATAGGTGTATGCTTGATAAGCAAAAAGTGAAGGAATAAAGGGGCAGAAAAAGGGAAAAGGGGAGAGAAGATAGAGAAAAAAGAAGAAGAAATAGACGGAAAAAAAAAAATATATATATATATATATAAAAAAAGTATGGAAGGGAAAAAAAGAAAAGAAAAAGATAAAAAAAGATAAAAAGGGCAAAATATAACAGGACACAAGTGGAAACAAGAAGGCGTGGGGGAAGACAATATATCAGATTAAAGAAACGTATATCAGCATATATATATATATATAGCAAAGAGATAATAATCTCTAGGAGAAAGTAAACAAAATGACCACAAAAGAGACTCAAGATGGCAAACAACTAAAAAAAAAAAGAAAATCTGAAAATTAAAGACACCACCTATTCAGACACCTGGATAATCAATTTGAGAAACTTAGAGAGGGAATACAAGCCAACACCATGGATATCAAGAAAAAATTGTTAACTCTAAATGCAAGAATACAAGGAACAGAAGAAAAACTGTATTTGATGGAATAGAAGGAAAAAGTCCACAAAGAAGAACAACCGGCATTAGAAAGAAAAATAAAAGAAATGGAGAACAAACTGATAGACCTGGAAGAAAGATCAAGAAGGAACAATTTAAGACTCAGAGGAATATCAGAGTAAGTAGCAAAAAACATGGAGCCATACATAGAAGATTTTATCAAACATCTAGATGTGGAATGGGACGCTAGAATACCTATAATTGAGAGATGCCACAAATAAACCGAGAGGAGTCCCAGACCACCTTCCAAGAGATGTGTTTATATGCTGCTCTTATTTTAAACTCAAGACTCAAATAATGAGAGCTATAAGAAGTAAAAAATGCGCAGAAGAATATGAAACCCTGACAATATTTCAGGACCTGTCATGGCCAACCAGACAAAAGAGGAAGACCTCCTCTGACAATACATCAATATTGAGATACAATAACATAAAATACCGATGGGAGTTCCCAACGAAAATTATCATATCACACAAAGGAAAGACTATACCCATTGACCGAGCAGAAGATCTAAAAAAATGGCTAACTGAAAATAATATTGGAAGTAGCCCCAAGCACCCCTCAACGTACAGTGAGGCTCTGACTATCTGAAGGAAAGAAGAAGAAAAGGAGAAAAGAAATAATACAAGAGACACGTAATTTATAAGCAGGGGAGAGATTGTGAAAGCAGAAGGGGATAATCAATACCACAAATAAAGAATAAGGAGAAAAGTATAACTATGGTAGAACAAGATGAAGCACACAGATAATAAATTAAACAAGACACAAATGGAAACACATCACTTTTTATAAAAAGGCACCAACCTATTCAAGAAGGAAACTGCATAATTGCACAATACACAAACACTAAGAAAATAAGAAGATATAAGGACACAGAAAGATACACACCCACACAAGGATATCTAAATATATTTAAAGGGAAATAGGTAATAGAGGGGAAAATAAGTCCAAACAGAGAGATTAGATTATGAATAACACAAGTTTTACACACAAACAAAAAAAATATGTATAAAAAAAGTTAAAGGTAAAGAAAAATATAAAAATTATTTATACAAAAAAAATTAAGATTGGGCCGATAATAAGGTATAAGGTAAAAGGGGTGTGGGGTTTAAATTACGGGTGTCCTGTATTGACTCCAAATTTGGCAAATTGCTTTCCTCTATGCTCAAAAGCGCTTTAAAGTGGGCTCTCCTCAGTTCGTATACCCTCAGCACGCTCTTCCCACACAACAAGTGGGACCCATATCCGAGTAATACTTGGTATTACTTGAGATACTGTATGGCATGGAATTTTTGCCATACAAAACCTACTTCTTAGGTTGATTCCAAATTCTTAGAACAACCTGTTTTTCTATGTAAATACAAATTGTTTTCTTGTTTTAAGTTTCACGATAAATTTTGGAGAGAGAGAGCCCCAAGAACAAACAGAAAATTTTAAATTAAGTTAGTTTCAATAAATGCCTGTGGGATCAACACACCTGGCAAAAGATTTACAATATTAGATTTTATAACAAAAAATAGGGTACAAATTTGCACCCTACCAGAAACACACTGGATAAAATCCAATAAAAAACACAAAAAGATCTTCAAGATACCCCACTATTATAAGTACTGCTTTGGACAATAAAAAAAAAAGAGGTGTTGCCTTTCCCCCCCCTA